TCATCAAGTTGGGCAGCCATGGAGAGGGAGAAACCCTAAAAATTCAAAATGCTCCGATTGACGCAACGACCACAGATCCAGAAAGAGGGCGAGGAGGCGATCACGGCGGTGCTGATCGGCGGCGGAAAGCTCCGACGACGCGCCGGCACGCGCGGCGGCAACGGCGACTCTTGCGGTGGCGCGTGGAGGCGCGTGAGAGGTCCGTTCGCCGCGATCTTCGTACGACGGTGGTCGCCCGACCGAGACGCTTCCGATGGTGTCGTCGTCGGTCGATTCTGGAACTCCGGCGACGGCGGCGATTGCAACAACAGCGGCAGTGATGGGTGCCGAAGACCGTGGAGTTGACTGGAACTATTCCTGTGCTCTGATACCATGTTAGAAGTGGACTTGAGGCCTAACTCAACCCCACAAAACCGGCTTGTAAGGTGAGGTCTGCACCCACTTATATACTTTAATTTGGCCTTATCTCTAGTCGATGTGGGACTTCCAACACACCCCCCTCACGCCGAGGTATATACATCTCGAGCGTGAGATTAGACATTAATGGGTGGTCCAATAGCGGCCCGATAATGGGTGGAACAATATGCCCAACAAACAACCAATAATGCTAGGATAGGCTCTAACCATAGCTCTGATACCATATGAGAAATAGAGAAGATTGGGAGAGAATATCCCTTGTGTGTGTTGCATACACATAGGGTAATTTATTTATATTGTAAGATATGGGCCAATGCCCTTAATACATAATAGACTAAGCCCAAATAACAGAAACACACATCTTAACATCTAACAAAACACTATGAACTTAAACCATTATATAACTACTATCACTCACTCCCTTACTTACCCTAAGTGATGTGTGATTTTCCAAGATGTATTATTTTCATAAGTCCAACAATCTCTCCCTTGATTAAAATAAACACATCTTCATTGTCTATACTAGCAATCATACTTCACCTTAGAAAGTATACTCACTAGGAATTAAACCATCCCAAGAATTTCCATACACCCTGCATCAAAGCTAATCAATGTTGATGTATAATCACAATACACCTTACATCAATATTAGTCAATGTCCATATAAAATTATCCTACACCCTGCATTAACTGTTGAATATACTGAAAATTATGTATGGGATTAATATCCCTTGTGTTGAATATACACATAGGGGCTTAATTATTTTTTGGTAGAGATGTGTTGTTGTATGTGTTTTATTTAGCAAGTTTAGTCCAAGTGCACAAGAAGATCGATGCCTATCCAATCTTCTCTTTTCTTCTAGACCTTCTTTGTTTTGAATTCTGTGAGGACACTGGTCATCAATTTTCTTGTCTGTTTTAGGATCAGTTTAGTTTAAGGACATGTTTTTGGTTTCATTAATAGTTAAACAAACTCAACAGGAAATAAAGTGACATTTTTTGCTGTTATTATTTGTAAAAGCAGAAAATGGGACTGAAACATTGACACAAACATTAGCATACATCTTAAACTAGATTTTACCTTGCCTTAAATGAATTATTTTGGTCTTGCAGGTTTTACATTATTCCTTGGATTTCTTATTGATCGAATCCACCATTATCTTCAAAAACTTGTTAATTTAAGGAGTAATGCAAGAACTTCAAACCAAGAATTAGAAAACCTTAAAAAGGAAACTGTGCAACTTAAAGAAAAGGATGAGAAAGCTTCGAAGGAGATACAACAGCTTAAGGAAGAACTTTCACGGGTGGCCGAAAGTTTGAAAAAGATAAAATTGGAATCTGAAGAGAAGGACAAGAAAGTTGAGACTGCTGAAGCACATGTTGCTTCCCTCCAAAAGCAAGCTGCAGATCTACTACTTGAATATGACAGACTCTTAGAAGAAAACCAAAATCTGCAGGCTCAAACACTGGGACACAAGAGTTGAGGAATGGCTGAGATGCATTGATAAACAAATTTTGGGGATGAGATTTCTTCAGGGCCATCCTTGGTTAGGTTGCAAAATCTTTATTTTGAAAAAAAAAAATATCTTTTGTTCCTTTTTGAAAATGCAGCATTGACCAAAAGAGCTCTGTGCTAAGTTTATAAGTTTTGCAGTTCTTTTTAGTTTGTTCTCGATTTAGTTATCAGATCATTGCGTAACAAATTCACCATCTTGGTTTTTTGTTGTCTTTACCTCTTTTATTGTTTGGATGCATGCTGAAGTATTTTTGGTGGCACAAATAGTCATCAAGAATTACAAAGGGTTTGTTGAATTTCAACATTATAATTGTGCCTTCAAGTTCATCTTGTTGTACCATTTATGCATAAACACAAGTGATAGGACTGACATCGTAGTTTCTGCAACCTGCATTCGTTGCTTCTGAGGTAAGAAATTCGTAAAATGCATTTGTTAGCGAAGTAATTCTGCATACAAATACATGAGAATAGAACGTAGTTAGGTTCAGTGTGCTATTTCAGACTGATATGTTCGTGTCTATATAAATTATTTGTGCATCAGATTTACATTTAAGAGATTAGATTACATCTTTTATCAGATAATCTTATAGTTAAAGTATATGGAGAGAGCTTTATGCTGCAACGTAGTTTTTTTGTGAAAAATTAAACAACAGTTTGAATTAGAAAGATAAGTTATATATATATATATATATATATATATATATATATATATATATATGAGTTTGCTCACTTATCTAAGTTTTTTTTTGAGTTGGTACATTTTAGCAAAGTGGTTAGTAGACAAAAAAAATTCTCAATTATTAAAAAAGACATATTTTAAACATAGGAATATTTTAATAATTTTATTTTTAATTTAAAATAAAAAAACAATAAAAATAAGAAACACTCATATAACCATTATATTCAAATATTATGAAAAGTATTAGATTCATGAAAATAAATTATCATTATATATCAAGATTATCTTAAAAAAAATACCATTTAAAAGATGAGATATTTTTTATTTGATTTAATATTTTGGTAGGTCCTTTTTTTGTCTATAATTTTAAATAAGTCTCCTAGTTATTTGGTATCTCAATTAGGTTCTTATTTTTTGAAAAATTGAAACAAATAGAAACTTGTCGTCAAATTGGACAAACACCGTTTAAGAGGCCCTTACGTGGCATGTTGATAGTATTTTTGCTTAAGTTAAACCTTTTCACCTGGACGAGATATGCAGAAAACTGAAACACAAGTTTTGCTGATATATTTGTTTTGTTAGGATGCAACAAATGATGTTAAAGTGAGTTTCTGAATGAAAACTCAAATAGCAATGTATTTGACTATCTTTAATGAATGAAGTTGTGTTATATTCATTCTACCGTTTGGCTCTCTTGGTAGCTTTTTCAGGATCAAATTTCAAATTTCATCAAAATATACTCTGTTATGTAATTTATGAAAATGAGCTACCTTACCTCAATATAGCAATGATGTTAATGGTATATCAAAAAGTAGGAATCCTAATCAAGAACGGATCATATTCCTGTGGAAGCAAAACCACTTTTCTTTCTGTGATAAAGTACCAGTGTTTTATCTCTTCATACCTCGCGTCTAGAGCTGTCAAAATGGGTCACAACCCGCGGGTCAACCCGACCCACTACGGGTTCGAGTCGGGTTGGGTTTGAAAAAATTATATCTTTTTATGTGGGTCAGATTTCAACCCGGCTCATTTAAATCCGACTCATGCAGGTTGAACCCGTGGTGGGTCGGGTTGACCCACCAACCCACCAACCCACCTACTTAATTTTATTTTATTAAAATTTAATTTTAATTTTATAAAAAAATATTTATTATTATTTTTTCTTGAAAAATTTATTTAAATTCCTTATTTTAAAAATTAATTAAACACCCATGTTGGTAGTGAAATTTGGGAGTGAAATTTGTTTAGAATTGAATTATAGAAAGTTTGTAAAAAAATTTATATAAAAAAATTTGTAATTAAGTGAGTCAGTGAGCCAACCCTTTTACCCACCAACCCGTGGTGGGTCGGGTCGGGTTCGAATTTTTCTGGCTTGCTAATAAATGAGCCAGGTTGGGTTGGCTCACTAAGTGATCGACTCGTGGTAGGCCGAGTCGGGTCGGGCAGGGTGACCCGTTTTGACAACTCTACTCGAGTCCTATAATTTGAGGAAAGAAAACACTGTGTTGGAAAGAAAGTGGTTATGAATCGATAATTCCTTATTTGAGTTTTAACACAAGGTCGCGTGGTCTCGCTTAAGCTAAAATTTTTTGCTTAAACTAGATTAACGAGGCAACAATTTTAAAATAATTCGCCCAAGCGACCCAAGTTTCGCCTAAGCGAAAATGGGCAACAATGTTCCAGTGGGCACTCCAAGTTTTAGTCTAAATCTTGCCTAAACAACTTAGTTTTAGCTTAAGCAAAAATGTTCCAGTGCATATCTCGCCCAAACGAGAAGGTTTAACTTAGGCAAAAATACTGTCAGCATATCACATAAAAACCTCTTAAACGGTGTTTGTCCAATTTGACGACAAGCCTCTATTTGTTTCAATTTTTCAAAAAATAAGGACCCAATTAAGATATCGAATAAGTTGAGGACCTATTTTGAAATTTTGGAAAAAAAAACTATAAAAACATTAAACCTTTTTATTTTGTTGCATCATATAATTTTGTTTGTCTGATGTTTTTGCTTGGTATTCCACGTTAAGAGTGAGTTGAATGTGGATTGAAGGAATCACTCCACGAGTGCGTTAAATTAATTTAATTTTAACTTTACACAATAGTTAAAATGAATTTATAAAGTTAAAAATTATCATAATTTAAATATAATAAGTTGTAATTTTAGTATGATGAATTACATTCATAAATAAAATATTTATGACATAACCAATTATATTGAAATCATAATAAATGTATATATATATATATATATATATTTCATTATTATTTAAATTGAAAGAATTTATTACTATTGTTAAGAATTATATTATTAATATTAACTTGTATAACTTTTATATAATAGTAAAATAAATAACTTAAATAATAAATGAAATAAAACAGTTTAATATATTAATTTAATATTTATAAATAAATGTTTCTATGCATAAAAGATAAATGTTTAAAAAACACTAAAATGATGAATACAATAAAATACAATAAAATTTAATTAAATAATTTAATATTATTAATATATATATATATATATATTATTTATATTTATATTTAATGAAAATAAAATATTATATTAATACATAAAATATAATTATGTAGTAACACTCTCCCATAAACCTATATAACTTTTCGAAACATACCCTAAACATATACAAATTTTTTTTTATATAAACACAAAAATAGAGTCACACATAAAACTTTAATCCTTTGATACGTTTCTCTCCAACATCTATTTATAACTTCCTTTACTTTATATATATATATATATATCATACCTGATCAAATAAACAATATACAAGAATAAACTATTGAAATAAATTTTTAACATAACAAATTATATAATTAAAAAAACATATCAATCAACAATTACAGTTTATTTAAATAACAACTTACAATAATCATATAATTTATACATTGATCTTTACATAAAAAAGAAATAAAATATCAATTGATGTTTTTTTTGAAAAACTTATATTAAGTGTATGTCTTCAAATATTAACATATGATATAATCTAAGACTTAAATTTATAAGAGAATATATGAATAATGAAATAAGAGTAAGTTCAAAATAATTCAAGCCACACATCTACAAATATTATAGTATGAAAAAACTCTTCTTCAAGTCCACACAATAGTTTATGTACCTTAGATATTACTTGAGTGTGTCAATACTTAATACAAAAATCAATGATTTCAATATTATCTTATAAAAAATTTCATACAATTCTTATTACACTTTGACAACCATTTTCATAAAATATATAATTTAAATAAAATTATAAATTTAATCAATTAAATTTATATTTATAATAAATATCCACATATAATCAATTAAAAAGTTAGTTAGGAAGAAAAAAAAAAGGAAAAAATAGTTTTTCTTTTTTAACTTAAATGAAAATTTGACAAAAGGCTAATGTTAAGCGATACTCACATTCTTGTTTGAGAAAAAATTCTTAGCTTGAGAAAAAAATATCTTTAAAAAAATAAGGTCTAAATCTTTGTTTTATTTTCGCGTGGCCGAAAATCTTTCATTTGAGTGCAAATAGGTTTTCTTTTTAAACTTAAATCTACTTTATTTTTCCTTGATTTTTTTGTGTGAATCTAATCTTTCTCCGTATCATGGCAAAAGTGGTTACTTTTATCTAAACAATAATGTAATTTAAAACTTTTTTAATTATAATCCAAATACTCCAAATCGTTGATATTTTTGTTCCTGTTTTGGTGGAGTTTTTAATAGAACCTGACACTGTCATGATGTTTGTTCTTGTGAAAATTCTTAAGGACACGGAATTGGTATTATGAGATGCCCTCAACTCAAGATCAATTTTGATCAACAAGAGAAATTTATTTTTTATTGTACACAAACAATACAATATTTTCTGAGAATACCAGGTTCATATAAATACATTGATGATGGTTCAATTCTAGTGAAATAACGTTGAAATGTTTTGGTTATATACTCTTTCTTTTCATAGAGTTTTATAGTCTTCTTTGGAACTTATTTCGGTCCAAAGATCTTGAATTTTCCCCGCGACTTAAACTTGTTTTTTTCTTTTTCAATTCAGATATATCTTAGACACACAGGTCCAAGATTGAGAGAAAACTGAGAGTGGGCATGTTGGGTTCTTGGTGAGGAAGTCCTTGAGGGGTGGGAGTTATGCTTCGTGGGTTATAAGGTTGGGGAGCATTCACATGAGTATGGGAGTGGGGAGTAGTTCAGTGATGATAAAATGGGAGGGAGAGAAAATAATCGTGGAAGAGGTGGTGAGTTTTCAGTAGGGACAGAGAAAAAAAAATTCATAAAAATACAGAAGAGAGAAAAAAGGTTGGAGGCATGACAGGAAAAGTAGAAGAAAGAGAAAAAAAAAGTATTCCACGTCACTAGGGAGTTAACTCTTTAAAGGGTAATAGTTAATTCTTTAAAGAAAAAAAGTCTAGATCTTTAAAACCATTAGTTTTTCTGTAAGTTAGTAACTTTTGATGGTGGATATGATTCATAGTAATTATAATTTGAAGAGAAAGTGGATGAAAATTGAGGTGATTTAGTTTAATAGGAAGCCAATAATTTAGTTTATTTGTAGTGTGATGTCCCAATTATTTTAAGTGTATTTTTTAAAATATAAAACAATTTAATTAAAAAAATAAATTGAAAA